ACAACAAACGATTTGTGTATTAGCAAAAGGCCGAAGCCCGCCCAAAACCAAAATGAAAATTATCAAAAACGAAAAAAAAAATGTTCAAAGTGAAAAGTATGTTGTTGATTCCTTCTGCTCCTCGCTCGTATTGCCAATTATTTTAATTATTACTCTTCCTTCATGTTTCCTAATTAGGCGAACTGTATTTTGTTTGTAATTTGTATTAGTCTGTCGTTTTAGTACGCTTTTACTTTCAATACTCTCAATGTGTTAGGCAACCTATGAGCATTACTTAAAGTACCAAAATTCACGCAACGTCTTAGAATGCTTAGTTTATATTTGTATTGTATTTGTTTTAGCTCGATCAGATGAGGAATATCTACCTATTCATACTATATATATATATATATTTACACACATATTTGGGTGCTGTCCAAAAATGTCGTCATCCCATTTTCCCCTATTGTCGTCCTCCTTTTGAAAGGAATTCCCTCCAATTAGGGATGACGTAATGTTCGGACAACCCCACCCTTACACACTTGTATTGTTAAATTGGAGACTTGTATTTATTATATGTATGTATTTTGAAAGCAAAAGCAATGCCAAAATACCGACACGTTCAACACCACATACCGACATGCTGCAAGCACAAAAGTAATATATCGGTATATAATATACTTATGTCTTTTGCCATTATTACCTTGTTTGTATACAAATCGGTTTAACCAAAAATTTTTCGTTGTCAAAAGTACAAAACACTGATAGCAAAAACACAAAAGAAGATGAAAAAATCAAAAACAGCATTTGTCACCACATGAATGATTTACACCCCCGATTTACACACCACTACCTATGACTATATACGATTAACAGAACCAAATGAAACAAGAAATTCAAAAGAAGACTTTCCAAGAAGACATTTTAAATTTATATTTATATTTTTTGTGTATTGTTTTATTTACTCTGTTCAAGTTGTCGCTGAAAAATGTTTGTGTTTTAAACGTGCAGAAAACCACGAACAAAACGCTGAAAAACATTGAGAAGAAGTTTAACAAATATGCCATCTTTTGCTTCCAAATAATTATGTTTAAAATATGATTAAAAATAAAACAGAAACTACTTTAAAAGTGAAATCGATGTTTGTTTTACACAAGACGACTTGCTCACCAAAAACAAAAAAGAAAAAAAAAACAAAAAAAGAAAAACAAACAAAAATGTAGACACATAGAGTATATTCTAAGATAATCAAGAGAGAAAAGCGGGCAGCATATCAGGCAAAGACGTGTGGAAAATGAAAACTAAATAACCAAAACCCTCCCCACACATCCTAAGCTAATGCAGATAATCCTTGTTTGCTGTTTAATTGAGGAAACTTATTAATAGGACACAATTTTGCACAAATTTAAACTGGCTTTCTTTTTATTTTGCATTCTGTAGCAGCACAAAATATTAACGAACAACCAAGAACATTGATTAAAGAAATACTGCATAAATAAGAAATTAAAAAAAAATATTGAAATGTTTAAACTATCTCTGATGAAAAACTGTGATAATTAAATGAAGTTGCAGGGTATTTGATAAAGCAAACTTAATTTAAACAAATTGTAAAACTTCAACTAATGGCCTCAACCATTTGGAAAATACAAAACACAGCCAACACGAGACACTCTGAACAAGTTAATTATACGATTCTTTAGCATCACAATCAGCATGACACCTCGACAACCAAACAGCAATAACTACTGCAATGAAATCTAATTGAAGGAGTTTTAATGTGTAGTCTGTAACCGTGCGAAAGTATCACTAAGTTCGAGCTAGTAGGGATAGTACAAGATCGCAGCTCTTAGTTCTCTAGCTTCTCACAAACTAAGCACTAAACTAAAGTAAAACTTAAATACTCATATCAAGCCAATTGTAAACCTTGTACTGTACATACAATTGTCCCCAGTATTGTCTTCCCCTCTAGTTATGTGTTTTCGGTTCTACCAACTAACTTAGTATCCAAAATCCAACGATTAGCGAAGATGATCGAGTCCTTCCCTTGTGCATATGCCTTAGTAAAAACTACAAAAAAAAAAAAAACAAAAAAAATAAACAACTCTCACACCCATAGAAAACCACGTAGAGAGGTAGAGAGTGTACTATCCATAATTCTAGAGTTAGTTTCAACTACATACTGTGTGTCTTTTAAATGTTAAGCAGCTGCAGCAAGCTTAATATATATACGAATACTAATGAAAACCAAAACGGAATCGTAATTATAATACCTAAAAATGATGTAGACAAAGTCTTGTGGGCAGCTTTAAGCATTTTGTTTGTCTAATTATATGAACTTGAATAAGAATACCAAACGTCCAAAGTTTTTTGCAAACAAGAACTAAGAACAATTGTGAACAAAAAAGTCTTCAGAAATGTTTTGATCACCTCGATGTGAAAGAGAAACAGAGTTATAAACACATAAGTACATGCATGCCTATATACAGAGATACATTAAATTACCGATTGATTGATTGATCGATTGATCCGCATCTCGAGGGAATGACATGCATTAGGTGTTAAGTGAGGTTGTAATTTTCGTGGCGCAATTAATTGACATAAAACCAAAACGGGATTAAGGATCGAAATGAAAATGCTATTTTTTAAGAATCGTAACGTACATCATTTTGTCTGTGTGTGTTCAGCAATTCAGTATTTCAATTAAGCCAATTCAATGAATACCCCTAAAACAATGCTACAATGGTTTCCAATTGCAAACCACAAGAAAGGGATATAGAAATGAAGAATTCAATATAATCAATCGAAGGTCTAATTCTCTAACTCTTTAATAAAGAACCAGCGGGAACAACAACGAGGAAGAAGCAACTGTAATACAACAAAGAATAAGAAATTAATAACTTAAACTTCATACAGTAAATATATATTTGAATATAGAAAAACGTAAAATTTAAAAAAGGAAAACTTACAAAAAAAAAATCAAATTGTTAACATAATGGATATTTTGTTAAATGCGAAACTTTGAACGAATTACTAACCATATTAGCAAATAGTTAATGAAAACCGAACCCAAGTGTGCTTCATGTATGAATTTATGTTAGATATTTACAACAACAATACGCGTATACATATTCCTAACTAAACCAAGCAAAAGAAAAGCCACATACAGAATTTGAATATTACTCTTAACGAATAACAACTATTGGTGTCTATGCATATACAATTAATTATTAACAATCTATACTATATATAAACTTTGTATATGTAAGCCGAGTACAGACTTTTGAAAACTGCGAAACGTATCGTCAAATATCCGAAACAGACATATTTGTCACACTTGCTATAGAGCATATATATAAAAATACGTTAAGTGCTCAAGGTGATAGCTGCACACTAGGGTGGACCTTAATTTTTAACAATTAGGAATGCCCTCTAAATAAATTGAAAATATATAGTTTTAATGCCTGCAGATGGTTTCAATGTGGATCACTCATGCACCGTGTTGTAAGAAGACACTAAAGCGGGCATACATGTCGTATGAGTAATTTTTGTGAAAACGTTAGAGCCACTTTGCTATGCCTTAAAACTGAAGTAGTTTTTAATTACAGTTTCAATTTCAGTAGCTTAATCATCGTTAGCCAAATATAAATCTGAATAACTAAGACTTTTTGTGACAGAAGTAATGTACAAATACATTTTTACACATTTTTTAAGGTATTTAAACTACACACTACATTTATTTATGAAAACCATTCAAATGAGCTTTAAAACAGTTAAAATGGTTACATTTTTGTACTCTTAAAACTTAGTTCTGGTTAAACATTTTGATAATAATGCGTTTCCTTAGTTAAGCTGGTCCACCCTACTGCTCCCACAAAAACATACACGTACAGAAAAATACCCAGACACATACTCGCCGCTTTGCTTGCCACATTGTTTTTTGGTCGAAACTCCGAGGGAATACTTTAAAGCGAAATACTAACCCCAAAGGGACACTCTGGAATCGCGATTTCTTGAGTAAGTGCCTTAAACTAACAGAGAGAGATAGTAGTGGAGAGTGGGAGGAAGATGAAGAGTGGGAGGATTTGGAGGACTACGTCTCCAGACCCAAAGGTAAATCGAGTGTTTTCGGTACATTTGTTTAGGGAAAAGGAGAGACAGACCTTTGTTCAAAACTCTACTAAGTGTTAGCCCCCCGGCAAACCAACTAAATGTAGTTCCAGAAATAAAGCAAACAGAATAGTTAACTCTATGCTCCGATCTATACTACTTTATAAGTAACACGTACCGAATACCTTTACCGTCGCATTTCTACACTGGCATATACATAGAAGTAATTGTACGATTAACTATGATTTAAATCATGAATTTGTGAGTGTTTTCGGCCCGTCTACGTTTTGCTCAACGCGCACACACACCCACAAAAACACTGAGATTAGTCCGCTTTACCCAAGTTAAAGACAATTTGTGATTGTTTTGCATGTACCCTAAAGTTAAGCGAGTTTACACGAATATGGATTAAGCCGCAGAAAGCGGAAGCGGAAGCGTAAACTGTACGAGTAATAGCATTAATTGTCCTACAATAAGATTTGTGCATTATACGATTGAAATTCACTTTGAATTCGTATTGAAATTTATCAATAAAGCGATACTATTTGATTCTTAACACCTAACAGTCTTTTAACTACCAGTTTTCCTGGCTTTTAGTTTTGCTTTCAATAAACATTTACATCTTTAGTTTAGTATGCAAACTTAAAAATTATTGAATATGTGGCTGAAAATGGCACGCTTAAAACAATTTTTTTTGTTTCTCTTTTGTGTTTAATGACACATTACTATATTTATAACTCACTGTTATACTTCAAAATATTTATATCATCTGTTTTAAATGAGTTTTGAATACAATCTCCATCTTAAAAAATTTATAAATATTTGAAAACTTATAATATTTGTTATTATGTTTTTTATTATTCTTAATATCTTAATAAATATTTTAAAATTATATTTCTCTATCACAGCGGTTTCCCACAAAGCGTGCCACACAGATTTTCCCCAGAACTCAGCTGGATTTCGAAGTGGTCACCGTCTCCATGGCCAATGTGGTAGTGCTGGTGGTGCTGGATTGGGAGTGGGAGTGGGAATGGGAATGGGATCCACGGTGCCGCGTTTCCATATGACGCTGCAAATCCCTGCGACGTGGTAGGGATTTGTGGCACAAGTGGCACTGGGAGCGCGCTTCCGTTTCCCCCTCAATGTCCACATCGCTGCCGGCTCCGCCGCTTGCACTTTCCGCGCCTCCCGTGGAACCGCTGGGATGCGTCTGCAGGTGCAACCGGACGTGCTTGTTGAGATTGCTCGGATCGCCAAACGGTCGCAGGCAGAACTTGCATTTCAGCGGCTTGAATCCGGTGTGGGTGCGTATGTGGATCTTGAGGCCGTATTTCCGGGAGTACACCTTGCCGCAGTAGATGCATAGGTGACCCTGCTTGGAGGCACCCATGTTACTGACTATGGCTTCGATCTGTGCGGCCGCGTTCATCGGATGTGCGGCCAAAGGAGCGGTAGCCATCGAAATGGAGGGCAGATAGGACAGCGTTCCCGGAGTACTTGTCGTCGTTGTCATGGGCAGACTCTGGGTAAGTGCTGCAATCGGGCGGAAGGCGGAGAAGCGCGGTGGCATCTGGGGCGGTGGCGAGTGGGTGGGCGAGGCCGAGGAGGTGGATGAGGTCGCCGGAATGGGCGAGTGCTGCGTGGCCGTTTGACTTCGCGACGCCGCCTTCAGAGCGTAGTGCAGTCGCATCCACAGGATGTCCATGGCACTGCGGCCACAGCCCAGGGCCAAATGGATCTTCAGCGGATGCGGCGTCTCGAAGGTCAGATGGCACGAGTGACAGGTGTACCGGCTATTTCCTGGAATAATCAGAACAATATATTGCGGTTAGGTGAATCTGTTATGCATCGATAAATAGTTATTTTATTATTTATTTTTTTATAAAAAAAATATATTATATTTATAAAATACTAGTTCTACATCAAGAGAAAAAAGGCAAAGTAAAATTAAACATTAAAATGTTTGAAGGTTTCTTTTTTTTTTAATATCAACCAATAAAAAATTTGTAGATTTCAATTTTTTTCTTTCAAATCAAAATTTTGTTATACTTAAAAATAAAACTTTTGATCTGAACAAACCACCCTTCGGGGCAATAAATAATTGGATTTGCAAAGTGTTTCTAGCTTTATACAATAAGATGGATTTATTATAATAAGATAACCAAAAATCATTATGAAAATCAAAAAAAATAATAGTTCGATTTATTATTTTTTGTTTTTATAAGCAGTGTATGAAAATCAAAAAAAAATAATAGTTCGATTTATTATTTTTTGTTTTTATAAGCAGTGTATGTTTTTTAAGATCGATTTGTTTTTTAAAAACAAAAATAATGAAAGAGTGATTTATTGTTTTTGTTTTTCAAAACTGTTCATTGTTTTATGACCTATCTAATAATTTTGTAGTATTATTTTTGAATTCATTTAAGTTTCGATTAAGGGTAATTTATTATTTAACAAAAAATATTAATTTTATTTAAATTACTTAATTATTTTTACTTTTTTTAAGAAGGTATTTTGTTAAATCATTTTAGTTTTAAGCCTTTCGATGCTTACCTTGAATATTTAAGGGCGTTAGGAATGGAATGCCCATGAGGAGGACCAACTCCTCGCCGAACCAGGCCACGATCTCGTCGTCCCTGGCCACATCCCTCACCAGGCGCACTCGCACCGCCTGACCGCCGTGCAGCTCGAAAATGGCATTGAAGCTGTAGACATCCTCGGAGAGTTTGATCTGGCGCAGCTGGGAGGCAGACACGACCAGCTCGCCATTGGACAACTGGCAGTGCGATCGTCCGCCATCCGTGGGCGTGGCCGTGGAGCTCAGCAGAGCCGAGGTGGGAATGGCGATCGAACAGGTATCCTTGGGCGTGTATTGCGTGGTGTAAACACCTGGTCGCGGATTGCTCCTCATCCTCTTCGCTGGACTGGCCGTACTCGTGGTGGCAGTCAACGTGGTCTCCGTCGGTGAGGTGCTCGTCATGGTGCTCGGTGAGATGCTGGTGCTGGGCAGCAGCTGCTCGATCCGAAAGATCAGGCTGGCCGAGCGCTTCTGCTCCAGACTATCCAGTTGAGCTGTCGTGTGCATCGTGCGCGTTCGAATTCGATTCTGCGTTCCAATTGGATGTCGGCCGGCGTTTTTATACTACGCCGCATCCGCATCCGCATCCGCATCCTGCTCCCTTATTTTTGGATTTTGTTTGGATTTGCCACGGCCTTGCAGTGTCACAATGGCACGGCTGGCGGCAAGTGCAAGAATTCCCAGCCCAGAATCCAGTCCGGCACCGGCTACGGCCTCGACATAGCTACGCACTTTGCCGGCTCAACCCCTCGGCTCATTTGGCATCCCTTTTCGAGGTCCTGGTGCGTCCTGGTGGTTGCTCGGCAAGTGCAACATCATGTCCTCGCAATCACCAGAGCACTAAGCCAAGCTAAGCGGCCTGTAGCAAGTGTGCGTATTCCTGTGCCAAAAATTCTACTCCACCTCCTTTTCCGCCGCTGAGTCCTTTATTTTTTGGCTTTTGGGCTGCGCACAAGGAAAATGTTTTTAATTGAAATTAAACGATCGTTTGTTGTTACTTCCCCCCGTGTTGTTGTTGTAATGCCACCATGTACAAATCGCATTCGCTATCGTCAATGTCATCCGGCCCATGGTCCCTCCCTCCATATGATGCCTTTCTTCCACTATGATGCTAATGACATAATATATTGGCGTGTATCGTTTCACTATTTGCGGTTTGGGGTGGGTCGTGATTTCTCCGCTCATCGGTCGGTGGTGCGGATTTCGGAAAGGCACGGGCCCAATAAAAGGTGTTATTTGAGGTAAGGAGTAGTAAATGGTTTTATTTGAATTTGTCAGATTTTCATATCCCTAAATTATGTTAAAGAAAAACAAACGTTAAAAAATTTAAAAAAAAACCAAGGCATCACATTTTTAAAAAGAAAAGAGAAAAATCACATTTTTTTTTAAATTTTTTACCATTTTTAAGACCCCCATTTCCCAATCTTCACTACATTATAAGGATTGTGCCATTTTTTCTCTATTTTATTAAAAACTAATAAAATTATAGTAAAAACCATTGTTTTCCCGTTTTTTGTAAATGATTTTTTCTAAATATTTCACTAAAAATTCAAATGTTGTTACAAAATATGAAAACAAAGATTATTCTCATACATTTTTTTTTTAAATAAAGTTAAGTGATGTACATTTTTGGCATATAAATTCAATTTAAATTAAATACTTGAGTATTCTTCCTATATGTTTAGTTATTGAATTACAAGCGCCCCTGTGTTGTATTCACCTAACCCTCATCGAAATCAGCTCCGCTCCTGCTCGCTGACAAATATGCTACGAGGCTAATGTTTTCATTATTGCGACACAATCGCTTGCTAAAGGACACCCCTCGTCGAGCGATCAACAGGATAAAGTTGGGCGAGCGATTGGCAAGCAGGGAAAAAAACATGTGTTGCCAGTCACACAGCCGCCGCTCCTGCTCAAGGGTTGCAATGGTGGCCAAACAGGACACACCAAACCCAAATCCAGTCAGGAGCAAGGTGTACCAGGCCCAGGACCAATTCCGGCTTGGTGTTTGCTAGTCCTCAATAAGTAGGCCGCCAAGGGGTTTTCATTTAAAGCATTTTAATTAGCAATTGCCAGCGGTTAAGCATAAAAATTAATAAAAATATTATTTTAATTTTGAAGTAGGTATTTAAAGTACTTTTTAAATTCTTCATTAAATGAATAACCCATACAATAATTATTTGTTGAGATCAATTTCTTCAAAGTATTTTCACGGTGTAAAGATAAAATGTTAATTATCATTTACTTTCGGCGGTAGGAATAGCCACCTCCACCGCCTTCATCGTTGCCTCCAGTCTCGTTGTCATCGCATCCTTGGCAGCCTCCTCCGGCCGCCAACTTGTCCAGCGCCTCCTGAATCTCGACGGGAATGGGTGGCGGGGTGGGCAGGTGATCGCCCTGCGGCTGGAATCCGTTCTCATCCGCAGTATAGGTCAGCGAGATTTGCTGTCCCTCGGGACTGGTGTACGAAAAGGAGCCCTCAGCCGCCTGCGCCTCCGCTCCCTTCACCCCTGGATTCTTCAGGTAGCCCATTTCCTCGGCCTTTATTCCATTTCCGGTCTCGTATTCGTACTAAATTCGGTGTTAAATATTTACAATAATTACAATATATATTTAAATCAACTGAAAAACTGCGAAGTTATAATTTTTGTCACATATCTTTACGATTTGGGTACCAATGGGATTATAATGAATTTAAAAGTGTAAATCTAAATTACCATTATTTCATCTCAAAGAATATTAAAAAAAATTTAAAAACATCGAAGTTATTTTGTTTTTTTTTTTAGTAGTGTGATGCTGATCAAGAATATATATACTATTTAGGCAGAAATATTTATCAAGCAGTCAAAACTTGTACATTTAAAAAAAAATTTGAGAGCGGAAATCTTCGCAAGCCTAATATATTTAATTATTACTTTAAATTTTTGAGTATATGATATCTTTATCTTCTCAATTCTAACACTTTTACTAGTGGAAGGTTATTGACTTGATAAATGGTTTTCTAGTTCATAGTTCCAATGACTCACCTTATAAGAACCATCTGTATTCACCTTGGATTCCAGCTTGATAATGGGTATAACTTCTCCACCGCCTGACGGACCACCGCCTCCTCCACCTCCTCCACCTCCTCCACCTCCTCCACCTCCTCCACCTCCTCCACCTCCTCCACCACCTCCACCTCCTCCACCATTGCCATTGCCTGGTGGCAAGTATTCATTTTTGGGGGGAGGCTTTCCATTGCCATTTTTGGGTGGTGGTCCATAGCTGTTATTGGGCTTGGGTGGAGCAGGTGGTGGCTTTCCATTGCCATTCTTGGGGGGACCATAGCTATTGGTCGGCGGTGGAGGAGGTCGAGGTGGTGAAGCTGGTGGCTTGGCAGGCAGATAAGTTGCCGGAGGAGGACGAGCATTTGGATAGCCCGGTGGTTGGCCCGAAACGTAGCCAAAAGCGATACAAATCAGAGCAAGCAAAATGGTCAGCCTCATCTCAAATTCAAACTGTGGCTGGTGCTCAACGGCTCTCGGTTTTTATACGACCAGCCACAGGTGGTTTTGACCGCGACCCCTTGACCCCAGTGGAGCAGTCACGTGCCACGGCTTCCGATTGGAATTGAAAACACAACGAAATCGAAAACAGAACCAAGTAACTGGGCCACAGCAAGTGCAAGTGCAGAAATCCCCAGAGCCATCCGATTAGCTGAAAGACTGACAAAGCGCTAATAAATTGAGGGTGCAATCTCGTTGCCAGAGCCCTCAGCCAAAAGCCCTCACCCCTTCTTTAGCTAATCGCTAAAAACAACAAAACCCGCCCGGCCACAAGCAAAAACTTTTAATTCAAAAGCAATTTTCAACAGGATCGGGCAACACCTGCATGACCAACCCAACCCAACCCAAAAAACCGAGCTCAACCCCGCCCGATCCCTTGCCTAATGCACTTTGCCTGTTGCCAAGGGGTGCTAAGACCCGGATTCGGGACTCGGATTCGGAATTCAGCATTCAGGAGGCAAGACCATCGAGGACAACATCCGACTACAGCGGCGGGGTTGTCGGCTTTAGTCAATCGTCTATTAACTTTTTGGCAGCCTGGGCACAGTGGTGCTAGTTTAGTTGAAAATGTATTGAATTAAACTGGTCTAATTATGTGGTATTTACAAAATTACCTCAACTTTTTTTTATGTTTACATACAATCTATTTCATTTAACAAAACCCTTAAAACTGATTTTGAAAATCTTTCGTGAATCATTATATTTATTAATCATTCAATCATTTATTTTAAAACATTAAAATAATCTGGAGGTAATTTTTATAATATTTTCTTAATAAGTAAAATAATAATTCTGCTAACATTAGTTATTAACTATTTTGAGCTGGTTTGGGACAGTAAAAGAACGGACAGACTAATTCAAAATATATACCAAACTAAAAAACGTGTTAAGTAAGATGAGATTTATGCTTTTAAAAATTGTTATAATATATTATTTATTTTCTAAAAATTTTCGTATGCCTAAAACTTCTTGTCACTTTCCACTGTGCGTCCTGTTGCGGCTGCTGTTGTGTGTGTTTATCATTTGGTAGCTCAGCTTGTGCCAGTCGTGGATGCCGCTAATAAAGAACCTTCCCCGTTTGAAGGACTGAGGAAAAGTCCGAGCTAATGGCAATGTCGTTTGCAGCTTGTCCTACTTGTAATGTGCTGGCGCACAGCTGACGCGCTCCCAGGATTCGGGATTCAGGATTTAGGAGTGGAGGTGGTGTGTGGACTTTGTGAACCTGTTCCGACCGTCAGCTGTGGACCGCGGGCTGCAAGATTTGGCTCGGAACCAAGCAACCACCGGGGAGGACCTGGCTGCACCGGCTGCATAAAAAAAACAATTGTCGGTCCCCCGGTCCTTTGTCCTTGGTCCTTGATGCTCGGCTTTTGGTTTTCAGTTAGCCACGCACCGATGGCACATATTCCACGCCCGCATTTGCGTTCATAAAGCGAATTCTGACAGCGCGGAACGATCTGATTGCGATTTGGCGTTGTTTTTGCGAGGGTTGGCCGATTAAGTTCCTCGTATCGCTTAAATAAACATTTTCAGATGAGGTCCGTTGATAAATTGGCCACTGGCCCTCGCTGACAGCCTCCATATGAGATGACGCGCGGGAATCTGTGCAACTGTCGGCGCTATTAAATGAGTTCTATTACGAATATTAAAATAGTGTGTTTGTCAACCGATTTGGCCGATCTGACTCATAAGATGGTTTCGAAGAATTGAAGTATCAACAACAAGTAGAGTGTTTAAATCAGTTTGCAGTGAAACGAAATTTATTGAGGAGTGGTCATTAAACAGTGTTTACAAAACCACAATTGTTTTGTTTCGAAGTCTTTAAATTAACCGTTAAATTAAAAATAATACCCCAGAAATATACCTTAACTTACAGGGGTATTTTGGTTTTATTAGGATTTTCATAATGAAATTTAAATGTTAATGTTAATGTTTATAAGAGTATAATTATTTGTCAGAACACATTTATAACAAATAATGATTAAATAAACTTAAGAAAAAAAAATAAACCATATTAGATATTCAAACTAAACCCCAAGAAGAGCATTTAAGTGTCATGTTATTTTTGATAGTGAGTTTATTAATCGCCTTTCTTTTTGTGCTTCTCCGGCGGCTTAGAACAAATGTTGGGCCATAAACAATGACGTAATCCTATTCGGACTACGACTCACTGTTAAATAGCTGGCTGCGCAGATATTTGTTTTCATTATTCCAATCTCTTTGACTTATTTTGGCTGCTTGGCTCATCTCGCAGAACATCTTCAGTTGAACTCGGCCAACGAAGCGGACAAGAACGAAGCTCTACAGTTCTCAGCACTACAGAAATTTCATTTAAACCTATTTAAAGACACAAAACCGCAATGAAAATGGTGAGTACAGCACTTAAGAGCATTAAATGTCTTCTCCTTATTTAATTGTATTTATTTCTGCATACAGATTTGCCAAATATTGTTTATAGCGGCGATGTCGGCGTTGGTTTCATCAGCGGCTTTGGAGAAAGGTGAACGAGAGGAGGCGCTCCATTTTGGGTAAAGTTACTTAAGTTCATGTGGCAGAATATGTATGAAATACCTATTTTGCCCAAAAGATTCCAGACAGAAAATGGTCACCGGAGAAATGAGGCTATAACATACACAGTAAAACCGAAAACGGATAAGGAGCCCAACGAAGTGACAACACAAAAGCCTGTGGAATTTAAGGGTGGCTATAGCTTTATATCGGCCGATGGCTATGAGTACCAGGTCCTCTATAAGGCCAACAAGAACGGATTCCAGCCCTATGTGACCGCCCACAAAATCAAACCGGATAAAAGTTAGTCCAACATTTTTCTTTGTATTGTGATAGATAATTAAAAAACCGCATAATTTATCAGTGTATTTAAGCGTGGCTCAAAAGCTCTTTATTCGTTGGGTGCAAACTTGGCTAGAAAAAGCTCAGATGAGCTGGGCCAGCTCGTTAATCTTTAATCATTTCGAGATAGACAGCTTGCAACATCAACAGCATAATAATAATCTACGATTTCTCTATAACTTGTTGTGGGTGTTTGGCCTTTGTAATGTAACGAGATAAATTAAATAATACACAATGATTAGTGAGTTTTGTAAATTTTAAAAGGGACATATTTATGTTTGAAAAAAACTTGGTGATGAAATGATTTCGTTTCAGATCCCTGTTATAATAAAACATTACTAATTTCGCTAATTAAGATAATTAGTTTGTTCCAAAATCGGAGAAAAATAGTTAACATCTTTGATTACAATTCTGAAAAAGTTAGGTAAGAGTATACATTAGTCAACGCTAATCCAAATCAAACTTTCTTTCGTGGGTAAGGCCGATTAGTTTTCCAATTTGATGGCGTTTGTAATGTAATGCACATATTTGAGAGTCGCCATCAAATTGTGTCTCGACCCGTGGAACTCTTTTGCTTTCGTTATGCAAATCTCAATTCAGCGTCGGGGAATTGGGCAACCCGCTACTTCGGGCGAAGCTTACTCAGCAGTTTGCAGTGCCTCTTTTTGTTTTGGACCAACAACTCATTATGGACCCACAGGTGTCTTATGCGAGTGGCCTCGAAGAAGACGCTTCATTAAGCTTCCAGCCGCCTTGGTTGCCAGTTGTGTTTTTCCCGACCCGTGTTTCTCCACAGGCCACCAACTAACGATCCACAATGAGCCTGTCTTCGTTAACAAGCAGCATCGGCCATGGCCAAAAGGAGGCTCGCAATGGACTGAATATCAACAACAAGCTGGTGCAGGCCCTAATCCTGCTGGTGGCTTGTGTCCTTTTTGGTGCCAACTTGAACTACGCCTCTTTTCCACCGGGCACTGTGATCGACATCAAGCTGGGAGATGTCACACTGGAGCAGTTTAGCTATACTCCAACTCGGGACGGATACGAGTTCAAGTAGGTTTATTGATCAATATGATTTCAAAATGAAATAAGACTAAAAGATAAATTAAAATGGTCAAAAACTTGCCCCAATAAGAGCAGAAGCTGTTTAGTTTGCTGCTCAACAAAATTGTATTCTTTTAATTATAAATATTATGATTATGACATAGTGTTCCTTTCTATCTGGTATAGCTTAAATGATATTTTATTTACCAAAAAGGTTATATTAATGAATTTTAATTTAGATCTCATTAACATTTTTTAAAAGGATATATATCTTTCCAAACTAACATATTACATATGATTTTAAGGCTGGACATATTATAAAAATCAACCAACAATAACTATAAATTCAGTTTATTTCCGTTTCCCAAGTTAATGATTTTGATTATATTGATTTTCTATACCGAGTCACTAATTGCAATATTTCTTACTTTTAGCTACACCCTACCGGATGGAACTTTCCGGGACGAGGTCGGCAAAGTGCTGAGTGGCACTTCGGCAGCTCAGGATCTTGAGAATGCCAACAACCTGGCCAAAAATCACCGTCCATCTCGCGAAAAGGGTCTTAAGGTGCGCAAGCTGTCCGGAAAATCCCTCTCTTCCCTGGCGGGATAAATAATTTTAGAGATCATTCCTATAACAACCCATCACGAATTTATTACAACAGTTTTCCCACTGTTTTAGGCTAGTATATAAAACAAAAACAATCGATTCATAATAACCACCTCTTTGAAAACTTGTTTGTTGTGCAAGGGAACTTGAGTTGACAATATGCAATGGGATTATATAAAAGCATGGTGATTAAGAAATAATGGGCAAATTTGGCGAGTGAGTTTTAATTTGAAAAATGTTTTATTTTTAACATTTTTACCAATATCTAAAATTTGCATTTTACTCTTCTCGTGCATATTTTTCAACGTAAGAAATTTTCCAACCATTTGATATCGATGCATATTAGTTTATACAAATATAATCAATTTTACATGCTCTATAAAATAAATACAATCTACGTTTTTTAATGCGACCTGGCTGGCGTTAAGCAGGTGTTT